GATATAGCCAAGACAGCCTGTAAAGCCTTTGGATACCACAAGGAAGGGACCACTTGGCATCACATCTCTAAAAACATGTTTTAAACGCCACGTAGCAGAGGTGCTGCTATACTATTGCAGCATAGACTACAAAGAAAGAGTTGTGTCAGAAGGGAAGCATTTTGTTAAGTACAATAAGCCAGGTCTGCTGAAGGTGGTGTTGCAAGCCACCCCAGCTGGAGACTCATCAGGCACCTTTGCACTGACATTCACATTTTTTCTTGCAAGTTTGCGCTCATCTGCTTTGAACTGTCTTTCCTCCACCTCCCCACTTCCTTACAGCCCACACAAAGTTTTTAATATTGCACTTGGATACAGCTCTCTGCAAAACCCATCTAGGACTCAGCCTGTGGATGATTCTTCTTGCTGTCAGGTGGTTTGTACATCTAGGGAACAAAGCAAATTGTTGTGTGAAAAGATACAGAAAGGACAGAAGCCAGGAAAAAAAAAAAAGAGGTTTTGTAGGTTTGGAGATGGTTGTACTTGCAGGTAAGTTTCAAATGGGGGCAGAATAGGGCTGGAATCATGACTACTGAGGTCATGAGCCCTACTGAGCAGTTTGTAGCAGTGAGGAAGGCCTTTCACTTTTGAGAGAGCAAAAAAAAAAAAAAATCCATGTTGGAGAACTGGAAGCTGTGCATGTATTGACTGAGCTGTGCACTCCAGTGTCACCACTAAATCCATGGAAAAGCCACCAAGCCATGTGCGAACTCATAAGAAGACATCCTATGCTGTGTGAATGGCGGCTTCACAGTGTTCTGAAGATCATTTCTAATTATGATTAGAGATTCAGCCTTTGGCCACTTGCAGGGACTTTGTGTGCCTCTGTCAGCATTTACGTTTGCCACATGAGAGCAGAACTTGGCACGGACTTTGCTGTACCGCTCATTGCGTGGGACAACACGGCTGGGAGACAGCGTTGCTGCCTGTTAGCATGAAATCAGGGTTGTGTTGAGATGGACGTGCTGCGATGTTTGAGTGCAAGTGCGGTCAGCTCTGTCATGCAGAGTAGACACTTCCAAGCTCTTGTAGCTTGGCTAAGGAGCTGTCCTAGGTGCAGGTTTTCTTTGCTATTCATGTATTTATCTCCACAGAATCCAGGTTTGAGGCATTTAAGAGCTCTGATGGAGGCCAGGTAGGTTCTATTAGCTTAGTGTTTTTTAATGTTTCTTTATCAAAGAAGTTTTAAGGTTTTTTGTTTGATTTTGTTTGTTTGTTTGTTTTTAGGTACATAGGTCTTTGGTTCAGCTGCCAGAGTCTCAGGTGAGCATTGGAGCTACTGGAGATGGCTGCAGTGCTCTGCTCTGGATATCGGTATGAGTGTGTAATCTAGTGGTTTACACAATGGCTTTGTGTAATCTAGCGGTTATGTAAGGAAAAGGGTCTGGACAGCAGGTCTAGAGGTTGGTTTTAATACTGGGAAATATACCAAGCGCTTTGCCATAACAATTATTTTGAACACCGTTTATGCTTATTTCCTCCATACAGCTCCCAAGCATAAGCTTCAGTTGACTTCTCCTTAAGTCCTGATCCTGTCTCCTTTGGCAGACTTATGGGTCTCGATTAGCTCCCAAGCTGTGTTAGGCATTTGGGAATAGGACATGAGCAGAAAGAGTGACTATATTCACACGGATTTGGACTAAGCTTTTTTCCCAGAATTAATGTAGTTTTGTATTCACAGGCACAAACTATGGGAATGAAAATATTCCTAGGGAATGAGGTTGGGAAGGAAAATGACATAATCAGATGATCGTAGAAGAACAGGCATTCCACTGGTGGCTATGCAAGGGCTGGCCCACACCTGCTGCCCCAGCTGCGCGGGGCTGCATCTGCTCTCCAGGAGAGAGCAGTTTTTGTGGCGTGTTTCAGCAAATAAGGGTGAAAGGTTTCCTCCAGCTTGCAGGTGTCATCTCTACCATTGTTGCCACCTGGTATATTTACTGTCGATAACTATGTGATGCTGACATGACTGTTACAGAGAAAAAAATCCTCCTTGTACACCACACATCCTACAAGGGGGTCACCGCATCAGAAGCGATTTCCACAGTGTAGGGTCTCTTTTTGCCTCTCCTCAGCAAACCTGGAGTAAAGGAACAAACCTGAACTACAGTGAGTGACAGCTAAAGCTGCAGAGCATATTAAAGCCTTTATAAACCATCTCTAGCAGAAAGTAGAATAATAATTTACATAAGCACAGGAGTTCTGCGTACATATTTTAACAGTATTTTTTTCAGGGTGTTCTGACATCTTTGAAACGTATTTTTACTTCCCTCCTATATTCCCTGGACTTTTTCCATTTCTCTCAGCCAACAAAGAACTGCCATTCTCAATGGAGTTCTCAAAAACATCTGTCTATGCAATTTGCTGACTTACACAGACCAAGACTGTCTTGTTCTACTAGGAAATTTCTTTGTCACAGTTTTCCCAAACTTGCTCTCTAGATAAACATTTACAGCTTCTTAGGACTCTGATTTTATTCTGCCTTTCCTGAAGTCACTGGTTTCCTGAACTAGTAAAATGCTACTAGTTTTCCTAGCAAAATGAGTCCTGGATATTACTATTGCTTGTGCTGTTTTCACCTCTGCACTGGTTTGTTGTTCTGTGGAAATCTGGAAGATGGAAGGCGATGGAAGAGATGACAGCTGGAAGTGCTGGAAGGGATGAGGACCACCATCTGGGGAATAGGGCTGGGAAGGAGAGTGCTGTAGGGTTCACATGGCCATGAAAAGGCCAATGAAGATTGGTAGGTTTCATGGACAGCTAAAGACAGGGGAGTTACAGGAGGTTCCTGGAAGTCTGGGAGATAGTGGAAATTGGGATTCCACATCCTAGCATGAAAGGGAGAAGTGCAAGTTATATTTGAATCAGATGAGAGTGTGTCAGAAAAAAAAAAAAAGAAAAAAAAAAGAAAAAAAAAAGAAAAAAAAAAGAAAAAAAAAAGAAAAAAAAAAGAAAAAAAAAAGAAAAAAAAAAGAAAAAAAAAGAAAAAAAAGAAAAAGACCATCTTGCAAAGAAACCCCTGAAGTAATTTATTGTCGCTCAGGCAGATAAAATAAGTGTATAAAATAAATTCCGCAAGAAGGTCAAATTAAGTGCATAAGCAAAATACAAGCATGTATACCCTTCTATTCAGTGTCTCTCATTGCAGAACTGGGGCTCAACCATAACCCTAAAGGACTTTTTGTCTTGCCCACTGGTTCCTAGCCAGACAACATCCCTCCATGACATTAGACTGAGAAGAAGATGAAGGAATAAGGAATTACATCAAAAGAGAAAGGGAGATGCATTCACAGGAAGCGCTGTGGTCTGATAGGTGTTGTATTACAGGCAAGACTTCAGCAATCCTTCTGGCTCGAGTGCTGCAATGCTGCTAATTCAGCCGGCTGCAAGAGAAAGGAATTACATGAGCAGCAGTCCTGGAGAGGTGAAAGGCCTCATTTTGATACTCCACACCAGCCAGCCTCTCCCAGTTTTGTCCCATCTAGAGGACAAAGACTACGGAATGACCGCCTCCTTCCTGCAGTTCAGGAGACAGACAGTTATTTGTGCATGCACAGGTCTGAGGTTTATGTTGTGGTTGCACTGAGGTACTTACTTGACAGAGAAGGTTAAGTAAAACTGTATTGCACAGGTTTAGCTAATTTTTATGTATTTGCATGTTTTTTGTCCCCTTCCAAGGGGGATCATTTTTAACCCTGATAAAAAGTAGGTGAAAAGGAGCTGACATCTATTACACATGTAATGCTAACCAACTCTTGATTGCATATCCCAGCTATGGAGTTGTGTTTACCAATAGTCAATCTCACTGAATTCTCAACAATGGAAAAAAAGAATGCAAATCAAAATAGCACAGTTTGCCACTGTATTCAGCGTGCAATCAAGAAGTCCAGTTTTCTACCTACCTATTTATTGAATTGGTATGTGCAATCATTTATACTGTCCCTAGCTCTCTATTTCCAGTAACAGACTAGTTGCCAATATTTCTCCACAGCCGCTTCTAATGCCATATAAGCCTAAAGTCCTTAAAATTGTAGCTTTTTTGGTGAGAAATCCTTGTTCCTATGAGAAGGGCCGAGATGTGATGGTATATTTAGCATTGCCCAAGGCCTTTGAGAAAGGGCAGAAATCACCTTGTTTTGTGATTTTCTCTTCTGTCTCCCTGTTTCTAAGAGATTATTGGCCATTTTCAAATTGCTGTTCAGTGCTGTTCTGGCACAGTTGGAGTGACATTATGAACACTGCAGGTCTTTAAAAGGTGGTTTTCATCCTTGAGTTTGGTTGGGTGCTCCCATTTCCATATTTACAATGATAGAATCATAGAATCCTTAAGGTTGGAAGGGACCTTCAGAGATCATCTAGTCCAACTCCTTTGCATGCAGGGTCACCTACAGCACATGACATAGGACTGTGCCCAGGTGGGTTTTGAAGATCTCCAGAGAAGGAGATTCCACAACCTCTCTTGGAAACCTGTTCCAGTGCTCTGTCACCCTCACTGTCAAGATTTTTTTCCTTAAGTTCCCGTGGAACTTTTGGTGCTTGAGTTTGTGGCCATTTCCTCTAGTCCTATCTTTGTCCACCCCTGAAAAGAGGCCAGCCCCATCCTCCTCACTCCCTCCCTTGAGGTACTTATGGTATTACAATGTTGATATCTAGTTCACAGAACCACTATGAATCCAACCAGAGGGTTCTGGAACTCCTTCCTGCATCTGGAAAATGTTTCTCAACAAAAAAACAATTCAAGTGAGACTTCTCTACTCCAGAGTTTGTCAGCACAGTGCTACCACAGGTTTGAGCTATAATAGGAAATTCCTTAAACATACAGGAATATCATTCAGATTATCAACATAAGATGTAGCTGTAATGTGGACCCCAAGCAGGGTCATGCCGCTCCCTGCTCAACCATCCAGCTCCCCTTTCTTGAAGACAGAGTCTTTACCCATTCCAGGTACCCTCATTACTACTTACTGTTTACACTGACACGTCCTGTTTTCCAGCAAGTGTTGTCTAGCTAGTGCCATCCTTTTTGCTCGTTGCTGCCAAGAGAGAAGGAATAAATCACAACTGGATATTTTTATGCTTAAAATGCTTTCATCTGAAACCACATTAAACCACTTTCTGACATCCTCAATATCTGCGGACCATCTCGACCATTCGGCTTGAGCGAAAAGAGTGCCCCTTTATCTGTTCTGTCTTGTCCCCAGACAGATCAAATTCCTCCTATATTTTGGGGAGACAGACAACTCTTCGCCTTTCACTGGGACCAGGGCACTCACCCTTCTCCTGTGCCAGTTCATACCAGTGATTATACACAAGCATGCAATGCCAAGCACCAACACACTGCCTCCAATACTTGCTCCAATTACAACATGGGTAATCCAAACAGGAGCTTCCTCTGTGGAAGGAAAAAAAAAAAGTACTCAGAGGCAGACACAAACAGCAGTTTAAGGCCTCTGAGTAGAGGCAGACAAGACAATGATTTCCATACCCACAGTGTAATTAAGGCTGATCTTCCTGATATTGTCTTCTACAAGGTAACACTTCCACAGTCCTGCAGTACTGACATTCACCTCCACCTGTGCTTCAAGCTGTTTTGACTTCACAAAGTCCATCTGAGTCCCATTCACACGTTCCCAGCACAGATGGGCATTGGGTAGGAGAGGACTAGAGACCTGGCAGGTAAGGGTCATCCTAGCCCCTCTGGCAAGTGGCCCAACAGGGTTAGCCAAGACTGTGAAGATAAGAAAGAGACACATGAAGGGAGGGATGGGAGGATAGGTCCATCCATACCTTTGTGGCTACTAGGTTTCTGCAGCCTCTCAGCTCCCAGCCCTCTTCTCACCTTTCATCATCAACAGCTCTATCTTGCTCTGTACATATCTTCTGTTGTACTCCAGCTTCATCTGGTAGTGGCCTGCATGCCTGAAGGGGACTTTATTAAGTTTTACCTCCAGGACACCTGAAGTGTCTCCCATTTTAGGTTCGTCAGACATAAGCAGGTTTCTATTTATGGCCACATTCAGCTTTCCCTGGACTGTGACAGTGAAGTTGAATAGCATGAAAGAGGTTGTATTTTCCTTCTGTTTCCAATTCAGTTGTCCTGTGAAACCTTCTTTCCATTTTATCTCCCTGAAGTTCAGATGCCATGACAAGATGACACTGCTTTCAACAATTGCATACTTTCTTTCCAAGGCTGAGTTTTGAAAACCTGGATTCAAAACAGACAGAAATACTAACAGAAGCAGGGAAAGCAATGACTATACTTCACTGTGGGTATCCTTCATCTGGAACTCTTTAGTCACTTACAGAGATGCACATGGTGCTCAGCTGAGAAAGGACTCAGAGGAAAGACACAAGGTACCTTAGAGAGGACAAACAGTTCGTGTCTGAGGATCCTTTTAAAGAACCAAAGCTCCCAATCTCACCAAAGCTGAGAAGAGCAAACCACAAGCAGAGAAGGGTCTTTTAGGGCAAGCTTTAAAGGGAAAACAGGAGGGAGTATAGGACAGAGCTGAGCCAACAGAGCAATCCCCTATCTGTGCTTTTGGAGGCTTTGGAAAACTGGCCCTGCAACACCATTGCTTGCGATGCTGGCAAGTAAAATCAGCACATGAGTTGGAGAGAGTATGGCCTGTGAGCTGGAGTTTCTGCATTGTGATTTTTGTTGTCACATACCTAATACCTTCAAATCAAAGTCAATGTTCTGGTCAATGAACGGAGAGTCTGAATGGATGTGGCATCTCCAAGTCCCACTGTCCTTAGGCTGCAGTTGCTTTAGTTTCAGTATGTATTTGTGATGGGTCACTCTTTCTAAGACTTCTGATGTTTCAGTGTTATTGTGGTTGTTGAACAAACTGATTCTGATATCAGGTGGGGAATTGTATGAATTTTGCGTTATGCTCAGCTTAGGAGATTCATTTGGCAGAAAATGGCCATTTGAAGAGATTTTCACTGTAAGGAGAAAAAGCTCAGATAGTAAGTTCCTGAAAGCAAGTGAACAGTGTCTCAGCAAACAGAATAGAGACTTAGAGATATTTTGTGCCATGGAAAGGAAGGAGAAATGGATTACGACTGCCCACACCACCAACTGGAAAAAGAATCTCAGCAAAGAGGTTTCTTAAAACTTTGCAATCTCCTTCCTCCCATCATTTTCATTGATAAATGCCTCTAATCACTCACATTCAAAGACATGCAATGAAATAGTGACCACTGGGCGAGAGTTAGATTCACAGCTGTAGCTGCCAGCATCAGAGAGCCTCAAGTCTGACACCATCAGAGATTTAGTATTCTGGTCCATTTCAGATCGATCAGTCATTGGAGCTTTGCCTTTGCCTTTTGAAACAATAAGCACATTTATGAGGGAAACAATTTCTCAATCATATACTGGGAAGAGAGAGTGATGAATTAGAAGTTTTACCTTTCAAATATGTGTCAAGCCACCTAACAACATTTGCATTGTACTTCCAGGTCACTGATGTTTCTTTTGTTATGTCTTTACAGTTCAGGATCACCTTCTGTCCTGCAATCCCAGTCTGTAGTTCCTCCTTCTGAGCCGTAATGGGGATCAGACCTAAAAGTCAACCGTCCAAAATAAACATACAGTCACTTCCTGAAGGGTAGTTCAATTAGTATCTCCCATCCTTTCAGGTTTGTCTCCTCCTTTTCCCAGATGCAGGGAAGATAATCATCAGATTCTAAATTTTTCACTCCTTTGTGTAATCAGTCCAATTCTTTCTCTTCTAACCCCAGAGCTTCTCCCGCTACCACTTCCTGCTCTTTATCCAACTAATGGCAATTTTGTTTTACAAGCATTCAAAAACAGGGAAGTTGCCAATGGTTGTGGTGAATTCACCATTACGCACAACTGCTTTACTACAGCAACCTTTTCCTCTCCAGACCAGATTTAGTTGTCCTACTGGTATCAAAGGCAGTATTGCATATGAATAAAATCCCTCTTGACACCTCCATCAAGATACCCAGTCAAGGCAACACTGGCAAATTTACCTATCCCTTCTTCCAACTTTTATATGGAACAAGATGGGAATCCCAAGGAAATGAGGGAAAAGGGTTAAGGAGAAAGAAGGCAGGTCTAACGTCACGTTCCTGTTCTGAGGATGAGGTATATGTGGTAGTAAAAGAAGTAGGACATATAAAGTGGAAGAAATTTCAGGAGTGGATTGTTGGAAGAAGAACGGGGAATTTCTACATTCTACAGGGAATTTCTCCAGAATAGCACCCAGAGATCTTGTTGCCAGAGATATGCTTGGGAATAAGGAGGTTGTAGTTCCCTGTCCTACTGCTGGTTAAGTTCTCAGACTGCCTGTGAATCACTCAGGTGACCCTAATACTGGAGAGACACAGAAGTGCAGAATAAAAAGATTTTTATATTAATTTAAGGAAAGTTTTTCCCCAAGCTGGTATTCCACAAGTTACAAATTTCTCTAAGAACTTGGGTAGTCAGTAACATAATGAATCTGAGCATTCAATAATCATACATAGGGTCAAGGAAAATAATGAATTTGTTTTAAAATGCAAAATTAAAAAATGTTATTAAGAAGAGACAGTGCCTGTTGCTTTCATTTTCATTTTAGGGTGTATGAAAGAGTTCCAGGCCTTTTTTTTTCTACAACCAGAGGAACTAAAGCTGAGTATTTGAGAAATTTGATTTAGTCATGTTCAGTCTCCTTCCATTCTTGGAAAAAGAACATGAAGCAAAAAACACCAAATATCATATTAGCAGTCAAATTGAACAAGCCAATATAATCAAATTTGTAATGGCAAATCTGTGATTAGCAATTTCCAGTGGTGTCCAGGTTTTTACCCAGGAAACTGGACTTGGTGTGGAGGGCAATATTTTCCACTCTGTGCTGAATATGTGGGATCTGAGTTGTATTTGACTCAGCAAATGGCTCTGCACAAAGGCTAAGTTCTTCATAAAGTATTTCCACACATTCACACAAGTTTTTTGAACCTTGATTCTGAAGGACATATCTTTCTCATCTCGCTATCATACTCCAGTCAGAAAAGCAGGTAAGAGGGTAGCTCTTCTATCTGCATCACTATAGAGAGAATTGCCCAAGCGAATCTGCTTGAAACCATGTGAGACTGTTCTCTGAGCAGGCAGACCCCTTAGAGAATTTTCAGTGGTCTCAGGTAAGGTCAACTGAGCCCTTTTATCATAAGTCAGTTTACAAATTCACTCCTATTCATATATGGCAATCATTATTAAAAATTACAAGAAGATTATTTTTGATGGAAAATTACAAGGACCCTAAAAACACAGCAAATATTATGAGGCTGGTAGAAGTACGGTAAGAATTGCCAGAAATTGGCTGAGACAATTTTCCCTGAACAGCCAAGGACTCACCCAGCTGCATAACCGAGAAGACTGCAAGAATTCTGTTCACCATCATGCTGCATGACTCCATCTTCATGGGAATGTCCTTCCTTGCACAGCACTGGAGAGTGGAACTGTTGTCGGACCCAAGGGATGCTAACATGAAAAACCCAAATATGGAGTCAATAATGATTGATTTTCAGGCCTTGTATAATTCATAGTGAGTGAGGCCCACGTTCTTATTCAGTACCCAGCATCCTTCAGTGCTACCATGCAGTGAAGGAGAAAGTCAGTTAGTTCAATGAGCAGAATAAGGCACCTGAGTTCTGTGTGTCAGCAAGAGGTCCAGCCACCGTGTTCCCCAGACTTTGGTATTAAATAATTTATTTTACTCAGCCTTAGATACCTGGATTTCATGATGCTGATGGTTTTTGTTTCAAGAAGTAGGTGGAAATCAGTCTTGGAGTGGGCCTTCCCTGTTTCCTGTGTTAAGTGTTAGCTCTACATGGACCTGTCACCAACTTGCAGTACAATCGTGCACATGGTGCAGGCATCCATGGTCCATCAGATAGAGACCTTCAAGAGGTCTCTTGAGGCTTGGATGACTGAGCTGAGAGAAAATGTAAGGGGTCAGGGAGACTGCTGATGGGACCTCAGGAGCAGCACAGAAAAGTCCCACATTTAAGGTCAGTAGTGATCAGGAAGATGCAAGGCAGGAGGGCATCAAGTTTGTGAAGGAGAGCTAAAAGGTACTGTGTGAATACTGACAGCATAGAGACAGCTCAGAAAATATTTTACAGGCAAAATCTGTCTTGTAAGGTAGGAAGTTAAAAGCTGGAAATGTTTCTAGAAACATGTAGGATGAGTCAGAGTGCTAAAGCTGCAGAACATGACTGAGAAAGTAGTATAAAGAAGAGAGGTATGTGGATATCAGGAATTAGGGAACACAGGGTGCCAGTGCAGAAAGTTTGGGCTTCATCTATAGCAAGTGAGGCTTCATCTAAAATAAAACAGAACCTGACTGCTGACAGTTAAAGTTTGTTGTTGTTGTTATTGCCTTTTTTTTTTAACAAATGCTGTGGGGAAGCCAACAAATAAAGTGCATTTTGTGGGTTGAGGCATCTGAAAAATAACATCTCCATGTCCTCAAGTGAGGATTCAGACAGAAGCTGACAAAGCTCAGTGGGTAAGCAGTGAGGAGTAATGTAAGCAAGCTTACACAGTTTTGTTGATACAAATTGATGTATCTTTTAAACTTTGTTCTGCCATTTCTTCTCATCTTCCTGCAATAAATATCCCCATTCATGCTTCATTCACACTAACCTTCATATTGTTGTGGCAGATACTTGCAATATGATGATGACCACCCATATGTTACAAGTCAGCAGGGAAAATGGATTGCCTTCAGCCAGAAATTCTGTCATACACTTTTTGTCTGCCTATTTCTTTTGATCTCTCATTCACTTTGCTTTCCATATTTTCCTGTCGTCCTATCTCCCTTGTATCTCACTCAGTGAGATTACTAGAACCGGCAACTAAGTCAGAATTGTACAGATCTCAGTGAATAAGTCTCCTGCTGTGTTAAAATAACAAGTTAGCATAATTAGCTGGCGCCTGTAGCAGACCTGCAGTCTCTTTATAGGTAGCCCATCTGTATCGTACTATGGTACTCATAAACTAAACAGTGCCAGGGGCTGTCAATTTTGTCAGGCCATCAGTCCTGTCAAATTGTTAGAACATTTCCTGACACATACTTGGCCCAGGACAAACAACACTCTCCTAAGCAATTCCAGGGCTCTACTTAGGTGTGAGCTTGGGCCAGAAACCACTCCCATTAAGCAGCTGGCAGGCAGACAGTTCATTCTGGAGGTTAAGTGAGCTTAATAGTCCAAGACCATCCCAGGCCAGTTGGCCTGAGTGCTAGAAACAGTCCAGACATAATTGATTTATTAGAATTTCTAGTGAAGGAGGAACAGGGCTCCCTCCCAAGTGAACATTGATTTCTATTTCATTTTAATTCCCCTCTTTTACTAAACTGGTTTAATTTCCTTCTTGACTTCTTTTAATGATCTTTACCTCTCTGAGGGTTAGGGATGTGAGAGCTGAGATACTGACTGGTCTTGTGACTCAGTGGAATCATGTCTACAGGACCAAGTCTGGCCTGCAGAACATCTGCGGCCCTGAAACAGCACAGAGTCCCAAGGGTGCTGGCTTCAGAAATCCACTCCTGGCTGGCACTGATATGACACTGAGGGAAACTGAAACTAAAAAAAACAAAAACCCAGAAACCGCTCCTAGAGCAGAGCAGGCCATCTCCCTGTTCTGGTGCACTCATATGCCCCTTTCATGCGGTGTGGTTTCCGTGTTTTCTTCTCTCGCTCTTGTTTGTGGCTGTGTTTTTGATCTAGCAGCAGCTTTTTCTGACAGGGCGAGGAGGGCCTCTCAGCCATCTGCACATGAGTTCCCACAGCCCAGCCTCTGCTTTTGCACCCAACTTCCCCTTGCACTTGCTGCCAGCAATGAGCTGAGGATCCCAGCATCTCCTGTCCCTGCACATCAGTTTGGCTTGGCTTTGGGGCTCTGAGTTACAGTTACTCAGCCAAGATCATTTATTTTTCCCAATTCTAACATCTGAAGCAAAGCTTATCATCTTCTTTTCCCATGTAGCAGTTTCTTTGAAAGTGTTCATTAGCTTTAAGGAAACGTATGCGAACGCAGGGCACAGTAAGAGACCAAGTACAAAAAAATAGCCAGCACAGAGCAACAAGATAGACAGAACTGAAGGTCTGTCACTTCATGGTCCCCACTGTTACCCTAACCCTCAGAGCATAAAACGGCCTGGCTGTCACACAGATGCTGACCAAGCTTGTTGACCCTACCTTCATTTCCCCTCAAGTGCCTCTGGCCATTGACAAGCTTTAAGAGCTGCTTGGAGAGTACTTTGCTTGAGTAAGAGCAGTTGGCCCATGTGAATGGAAATTCCTCATCACAGTGAGAGTACCTCACTGCTGGGGCAAAGCATGGTGATTAGGTTACCGTGTGAGCATAAGCCAGACTATCTACAGCCACAGATCCTCGTGCTCTGTGTGGAAGTCTCTAGTCATGTGTCCTCTATCCTCCCGATGGCCCAGAAAACAACACCTCTACAGCCCAGGTTGCTCCCTATGAATTCTAAACTGTTCTGGCTGCTTAAGAAGAGGCCAAGGCCTGTCTTTGCCTTAGCAAAGTTAGTTTAGTGTCTGAGCTTTCCCCCCTCTCTTCTTGCCCTTCTCATTTCCTCCTTGCCATTTACAACTACATCATGAAGGTATCTTTCTAAATACAGTGGAGGCTGAGCTGAGCAAACAGTACTGAGATGTCCTTCAAGGACAGGCCCTCCATCTCACTCCACAGCTATGTACGTGCATGAGTTCAGGTTCAGATATCATTACTGCAGCTGTTGAAATAAGAACATCAAATCTGCAGCCCAGATTGGAAAAGTGCCTATACACATACTGACGGAATGAGCATAACAGAACAGTATATACTAGCCCATTCAGAACAAAAACATATCAGTTTTATCTGGATAATCCATGAGATATTGTTCCTTAATTTTTCCCTGGGGCTTAGCCTCAATGAATATGCAGTCCTGGTACAAGGCTGTGGCAGAACGGGCGCACACAGTCCTTGGATGCACTGCCCAGGAACAGTAAACAGGAATGTGAAGGTGATTTTGCTTGACTTAGTTGTGACAAATCCTGCTATACCATAGGCAATTCTGGCAGTCATGTTTAGAAATACCGTGGAGGATAAAGAAAAGGTTTTCGAGTTGATTTGAGGATAATTTGCACAAAAGATTTAAGAGGACTATTTAGTTTATAGTGGAGAAAGTTAATGAATAACTTGAGCTCAAGCTTTATTTACCAAGCAGAGGAATATTTGAGACGACAAAGGTTGAATAGGATTCAACACCTGAAAGTTGAAAAATTCAACCCAGAAATGAAACTCCCATTTTCAACAGTGCAGCAGCTCATGGATGGGTAAGGCAATTCCATTTTTTTGGTGTCTTAAGTTGAGATAACTTATCTTTCTACAAGAAACTTTGCTCAATCAGTCCTGAGCTAGTGGATTAGAAATGGCATCTTCAGCCCGTGTTGCACGGTGTATCAGTCAGCCTAGATGATCTGAACAGAACCCTTGAGTCTTAAGACATACACATTTAAGTAGACTCCCCCACTTAGCTAAAGATTGCCATCTTATTATTTTTGAGGCTTTTTAAGAACAAATTTCCTCTCTCTGAATGCCTTATACAGAAGATGATAGCAAGTGGCAGCTGATGGAGGGATGCTCTCCGGTACATTTCATGCCTCTCATCAACCATGCAGAGAAAAGCTTAGACCACCCTTGGAAATAAAGGATTACCAGTGACAGACCCTTGTATGGGAATTTTTTTAGAATTATCCATATACATGTGTTTAAAACATATGTGACACCCCCAGGCTCGACTACTGTTTGAATTTTTTGTAACTTTTTTTTTTTTTTTTTGCCCCTCTCAGGGAGAAACCCAGAGAGGAAAACACTTATTGGTTTTAAAAAAATAATAAAAAGAAGACTTTAGAGAACTGCAGAGCCAGAAGATTTTCAGTAACTGAAGGGTTCAAGATGAGTTTATGCCGGAACTTTTAAGTGGGACGAAAAATAATCCACCCATAGTCCTGGACAAAACAGCAGCTTACGCAGAATAGTGAAATGAGTTATGATTAAAAAAGAAGAAGAAGAAGAAGAAGAAGAAAAACACTCTTTTCAAAGAAAGAAAGTTTCCTTACCTCTTTTCATTCCTCTCCGTCTCTGTGTTTCTGTCCTTTGCATTTGGCACCTGCTATAAATGACAGAGTGCAGCTACAACTGAAACAATAGAAGAATGAAAGTTGCTCGACAGATGTCAGCCTTTATGCCTCCTTCTCTCCAATGACAGCGATGGTAAGATCTTACTGTCAGTCCAGATTCTTCTGAGATCCGCGTGCTTCTTTATGTAGCTGGTGATCTTGTGTGTGAACTTGAATCTGTGCGTGAACTGAAATGGAGACCGTAACGGAAGGTGCTAGAGCACTTGGGGAGAA